AACTTTCCATTTGTCGGGTCACTGAAGTCGACACCTACAACTGACATACCACATAGCTGCATAATTTACTTTCGAACTCCGAGGGCCAGTATTTCACAAGGTTAGCTACACTGACTCCTTGCGATCTTACTACGGTACGAAAGTGCAAAAACGCATAATCGCTTCGGCCCGCCTGGTGCGTTCCAGCCTGGGTTCATTTGCTTTTCTTGCTTTTACTTTTTTTTGCTCCTCTCCTTTCCACCCTTCAGCCCCTCCCCTCCCGCTTATGTGGCCTAAGCAACTGCTAAGAAATTTAAGCCACGTGGACTTTGCCCACCCATCCGAACCTCATTTCCTTGTCTCGAATCCCCGCTCAAGAAATCCGCACACACCACTCCCCTTCACACTCATCCCAACCTCCTCTCCGTGTCTCCCTAAAAATATGCTCATGCACTGCCAACCCCCTCCTCCCTATCGTGCCTTTTGCACTGTACTACTCTCCCAAGTCCCTTCCGTACCTCACGTATTCGCGGCAAAAACCAGTGGTACGATCACCCTTTTTTCTTCATCATCCCCTCTCCTCTCTTTCTTCTACCTCCACTCTCTGCGGCTGGAACCCGCACACAAAGCTCTCCTCCTCTACCACTCCCACCTGCGACATCAAGCGTTCTATGCAGCAGCGGGGTAAGGACACCCGAAAAAATCGGCGGCAGATCCTGTATAGGTGGTGTTTTAGTAACTACCGAGTTACAGCCATTTCAGAAGTGTCACAGGGACTTACTTGAGGGGCTGTGTTGTGTTACAGCGAAACCTTTTGGGTGATGAAAACGTTCTGACAGGCAACATTATACAGCCAGTCTGTGAACAGAATCGCGATTTTTTAAAACGACTGTTGCGCTGTCACTGCCATATCCATTATGAATTATATTAAAAATATTTGTGGTAATAGTCCGACTTTTGCGTAAATTTGTCAAGCGTCACCTGAACTGTAGGGGGCGTAGTAAAATTTCGGACTCCTGCTAATCCAAGGTATACAGAGTTTGTTTTTATCATTAGTTCATTTCGTTTGTTGAAGTGTTAGAGAAATGATGTGGAATAATTTAAGTGGTGAATTTTTGATATATAGCCTAGCCCAGTGCGATTAGTAGAAATCGAAATCTTGTCATGGCAGACAAAAACTGTGTCCTTCTTTGGGCTCTTCGATGAACTAATGCGGAAAGCAAGCTAGAGTTGTGGTTCCTCTCTGCAAAATGTAAAATGTGTCTTAAAATTTGTACCTAGTTATTGCGGCAGGCTGTCAAAAATATGGCTATGTCCGGAAGCCCTCGCTGATCGAATGACGTTTTTTCGCGTTTGCGTAAAATTTGGCAACGTGAATTTGGGCCTGTCACAACTCGAATTCATTGTTCAGGTGGCATTACTAAATTATGACTGCACATTGAATTGGGCCTAACCGGTGCATAAGGTCACGAAAATTTCGAGAATCACTTCGAAATGATTTACTGTTGTTGCCTATTCAAAATTATATAGAAATAACAAATTGAGACGAACTAGTGCGAGCAGTAAAGTAAAGGCAAAGTCGCACCAAGTTGGCATGAAAATAAGCTACTTTGCAACTCGTTTTATTTGCGATTACGTAAATAATCCTCTTTTGTGAATCCACCGAACATTATCATCTTGGTATGTATGACTGTAGCGCGTGGTAACCCAAGCATTGGTCTCGTTCTTTAATGATGATTCAGTTCTAATAAAGAGTCAGATACGCTTCAAAATCTTTCAAGGCCGCTATTTTCGTTTATCTGAATTTTTAGATTACGGGTTTCAAGGAAGCGACGATACGGAAAATGATTCGGAGGCACTCCAGCGTGAAGAAAATGAGCTTTTGCATGTGTTGAGCATATCTGATTCCTCCGAATCTCAGGTGTATGAGTCTGAATCGATCCCGTTTATGGATTCTAATCGAGCTTCACCAGGTATCGAGCATGAACTAGTAGAAAAGCATGGTTCTGAGATTTTTAAATGACTTTTTGTATTTTTCTTGTCAAAGTCTTTATTGCCTTTATATTTTGTTCATTTAGTGTACTTCTCATCGGACGAAAATTTCATACGAGTTACTTCACCACAGCCTGGAGTAGAAAGGTTCTCTTATGATTCTTTTGTTTTGCCAATATGCGCTCGGTTTTATATTCAAAATTATTTCTGGTGCACTTTTTTTGGCAGCGCATGTTTTTTCATTTCGTTTTTTTTAGCCGTGAAAATATCTGAAAATGCGGGATTGCTTGTACTGACGTTTTGCATTTTCAAATTATTTCTCGCAAATTTCCTTTAGCTGTCCTGTTTCTTGCAACATGGACTTCCGCATTTTTATTTTGTCGCTTCTGATAGGTTGCATTTTCAGCGATGGTATGGTCGACTTGGTATCCGTGAAGGAAAAAAACTCTGTAGAAGTAATTTCTTTTCCTAGTGTTTTTGTTTCTTATTAGTTGTTACAGGGTTATCCCATTCACTGCAGTACTGACATTGCACGATTATCGGTTTTATATTTCAGTCTTCCGATCACTCTGAATATGAGATTGTTTCGGCGCATGACTTACTAAAGTGCGATGAGCAGGAACCACCGAATACATCGGATAGTTTAACTGGTATGTTGATTCGATCGTTCGGCGTTTTATTTCTGGAAGTTTTCTGCACTTTTTTCCATCAGCATTCTTGCTTTTCGTTGCAAGTATGTTCCATCCATCCAGAAGTATTATTTTGATACAAACTTTTCGTAGTTTTCGGGCCACTAGTAAAGAAAAGTGCATGTAGAAAGCAGCTGTGGCAACTGCTCGTGTAAAAATGGTGAATTTCATTTTTCACTACCGAATTTCAACCCAGGTACCTTTTCTTGGTGTTGAAGTGGCAACGGACTAATTAGTGAAGAAAGACGATGAGGACATTCCTAGCATGTCCGGAAGGCATTTTGACGCATCAGGTTAAGCTGGATTGGTGCGAAACAACGTCAGCTGACCAGCGGTTGGTAATGCAGTGAAGGTTAAACAGCTGTGCAAGGGGACGTGATATATGCCGAGTAAGAGCATTATGGGACCGACATAAATAGACGGAAATAAAATGTTTGCGGGCCTTTCGGCCAGGTCTACGACGTCGGGTCGGCAACACGAGGAATAAACTCACGGACTATTTTCTCCAGGAACTCAGTACAACTTCATACAGCGTCCTCGGTGTGTACGAAGCACGGCGAACGACGGAACACATAGTAATCTAAAGAGGTGTGAAAACGATTTTGCTCGGCACTGGTGAAAGACAGAGAAACGTTGGCGGAGTTGGGCCTTACCGTCAGCAAACAGTGCCCTCCACAGGCCATCTCGTATTAACTTCCATTCGCCGCAAATCGGCGTGCGCCTTCTCAGCCTTGGTTACAGTAAAGTCCTCAAAATCGGCCAAGTCATCGCTCCTGCCATGGCTAGCGAGGACAGTGGTGTGCAACATTTCTATGCTTATCTCAAATCCATGACAGTTGCCAGATTCATACACACATATATATATATGTATATATATATACATATGTATATATATATATACATGTATGTATATATGTATGTATGTGTGGTCGTTATGAGGGTCTTCAATGCAGTGCTTTGACCGGCGGGGAAAGAAGGGCAGAAAGAAGGGGAAGGGGGCAGGGGAGGGGGGGGGGGGGGGGGGGGGGGGGGG